CATGATGCTCTCAACTGGTTGGCTCAAAAAAATAAAGGAAAAACATTGGATGATTTGAATATTGAAAGGATTGTACCATTTCCAGTCCCAATTGTAAAACGAAAATAGTAAGTAATAATAGTTTTTTTTTTAAATAAATGCATATATGTGATATACGTTAAAAATTTTGATCTGATAAATTTTTATTTCAGTATATGGGTAGTGGATGTATGGCTAGATCTATTACCTATTTTTGAGAGAGCTCCTTTCATTGCTCAATTTATATTAAGTTGCATTGTAATGTTTGGACTTTACTTTGTGTAAGTAATTACTAATAATTTTTTGATATTATTAGGGTCGTATTATGTAAATGGTCATGGTCACTTGACCAAACTGTAGACTGTAAACCATATTGCATACTGTAAAATTGTGATGATGAGTCTTTCAATACTTCATCACATTGGTCAAAACAGTATTGCCCTTTCTAATTTAGGTAAAACTAAAAAGTATGGTAGCAATAATTATGGGTCATATTGCATAAAAAGCCGTACGACGAATTGTCGCGACTAACTTTCGCAACCATTGGTCAGAACGAAAAGGCATGTTGTACAGAGAGTCATATCACAATTGTCAATTTCCTAACTTTGCTACTATTTTGCTACACTTTTGCGTATTTTTGTATGAATAAGTTTATATATATACATATTTACTCCTAATAGGCGCAAATTCTGACATTTTTACAACGTGACTAGGCACAATAAGCGTCGTTACCGTGATCAAATTGAAATAGAAATTTCTTTCTTCCTCTCATATCGAATTCACATTTAATATGACCATGAATATCTTTATAACAGGACCCTAATTGTGATTTGACCTTTTGCATAGCATAAACAGATAGAACATACTACTGCTGTGACCATTCATCATATGACTGTGTACATAATATGGCCTTTAAAACTATAATTGCTTATTTAGTGTCAACGGAATTGGTTTTTGGTTTACCGACTTACGAAATCAATCCGCGTACTATAAACAAGTACATCTTGATTATTCAGAAAAGACCATGTGTGAAAAAATAGAAAGTTTTCCTTTTCGGGAAAGAAATAAAGAAGTAAGAAAATAATGTTTAAGTATAGTTTTGAAGAAATACAGGTTTCTTATAATATTTTGACAACTTTAGGTATGCATGGAATATGTGAAGCATTTCGAAGGAGCAATAATCACAGGTGCATGTTTTGTCGTTGGATACATTATAACGGGTGTACTACTACTTTATTACAAACGTAAAAAAATATTTACCTCCGCATTACTTATATCATTCTTAAGTGGTCTATCTCTAAGTATTGGAAAGGGTCCTTGGATAGAATTATTGTGTCCCATATTTTTTTTAGGAATACCAAATATTCTAGTCAACTTTGTTAACAGTTCTGTTATGGATCACTTTCCAACTTTTTTAAGGTACAATGCTACTTAAATCATTAATACATACATATGCTAATTATATATTACAAATATAGTATAATAATATACTATATATAGTATAAATGACCCATATAAAAAATGTTTATATTATTTAAACGCAGAAATAAAGCCGTAAGCATAGTATTGATGTTTGGGCGATTTGGAACTGTTGCTGGTGCTCAAGTTGGTATCTATATTCAGTACAAATGGTGTTTACTTGCATTCACTCTTTTTCCAGGAGTTATACTAGGTTAACTTTCCATTTCCATTATATTAATATATATTTCACTTATTTTGTTTCAGCTTCTGCCACTCTCTCTCTCTTTCTTATGTTATAAATGCATTGAAGGAATACGTTCGTTCACACAAGAAATGGACCGATCGGTTGCAAAAAGAAATAATAAAATAATTTAAATATAAATTTTTATAACACAATCTATAAAGTTATAAATATACGGAATTTTATAATTAATTATATATGGTAAATTATATGTTCATATATAAGCATTTGTTTATATATATTAGTTAATATGTATATGAGGACAAAATAAAGTTTTTGTTTTGATCAATAAATTCGCAAAAAAAGTAATATACACTGGATTACCTACGAGGTTTAATTAGAAACCAATGAGAATATTGAAAATGCATGTGGTATACATTGTTATGCAAGTTGAGCATTTTTTATGTATTGGTTGCATTACAAGTAACCTATATCTTAACTAACATAGCTTGTTAATAGCGTTTATCAGTTTGTGTTTCATTATGGCGGAATAGAGAGTTAGTGTGAAAAGTTGTCGCATGTTTGCATTAAAAAAACGAGAAATAGAGCGCAGCGATTTGTTAAAAATTTTAAACACGAACTTTAGGGTCAATACCATGTCATATGATTTTATAGCTGGTAAAAAAATTTTCGGAAAAATCGGGAACTCATTAAATATATGTGACTTTTGAATGTCCGAAGATCTTCATTAGTATTAAATAATAGAAAAATTATGAAAAGGATTTTGTTTACTAATAGAAGAAATATCCTTTCAATGGTTTCAGAAAACCATTTCGAATGTTCCAAACAAAAAATGATAAGTATCAAATTTTGTTTTAAAACTAATCCATTTTCATTGAAAACAGCATCAATTAACTATAGCTGAGCAATAGCCTACTGCCGTTCTTTATGAATCGGAATTGCTTAAACCTTTTGTAATGGATGATAAAATGGTGGTTAATGGTTACAACATTAAAATGTTGTCTCAAAGAAAAAAGGACATACAATCCTTTGTTCTGCAGATTTTTCTAACCAACCTTGTTTTAAAAGATATTCCAAAAAGAAATTCTGTGGACCAACTTTAAGATGATGGACGGTGAGAATGAAATTTTTCCTTTCCATTAAATTTTATCAGCAAGACATGATACAATTGCTATTGATTACTGGCTTTATATATATTCTTTATTTTGAGATGGAAAAATTTTTGAAGCAGCTTTATCAAATTAATATAATTTTTTACACCATTGATGAATATAACCTCGTCACATATCACACGTATTTATTTAATATAATCAGATTAGTGTTGTTGAAGATGGTAAATATCAACACCATTTAGTGACAAAAATTGGCAGATACTTATTGTATTCCCTAATATAACAAATTAGTTGATATATAGTTGATAATCATTGCATAATACATAAGCATGATATCACAACAAATACAGTTATAGTATGTTCCCATTGCCATCATTAAACCAGTTTACTTCATTTAGGTCGCTAATGAAGTTGATTAACCGTATAAAGAGAGCACGACAGCTTTCCAATTTGGTTACCAACAAATTTAGGGAAATTACACCAAAAATGTCGAATGTTACAAAATATATTTCTCAAAGGGAAATTATTAAAATTTGTGATATTTGACATATGAAACAAAATGTAAAACAACAAGTCAAACAAGAAAAAGCTAAGTATTTTTCAAAATGTTTGTTTTTACGAATAAATTTCATACAGATTTTTTTTAACATTGTCCACATTTTCTATAATTAATTAATTTCTGCTAACAATATAATATTAACTAAATATTAACTAATAAAAATAAAAATGTAAATAAAAAAAGCTACGTTTGGACTTTTACAGAACTTTCTGACACATTCTCATATGCATAAATCAATTTATACCAATGGAAACGATCAAATTTTAATTTGTTTAACATGAATTAATCAAGCTGTAGTGGGAACATGGTATTATATTAATGACTAAATCAACTGATTCGTAATTTTTTCATTATTGCTTGGATTATTATGTCAAACGATGTAATTTTTAAAAAATATTCCATATAATTAAAATTGATGGCTGTAATCTAAAGAATATTTATTATGGAATCTGGGTCTGTTTATCCGAAATCTCAAGTTAAGGGCATATATAAAATCAATGATGTTAAGGTTATGATAGGTGAGTTTTTTGAATATTTAACAACAAAACATTTTAGTTTTTATTTATTTTAGGCTTCGGTAAAGCTCAACTTTTAATTTTTACAGTAGGGAGCTTTTATATTATATACTGTATCTGTGAAATTATGGGCATGGCTATTATATCTCCTTCTAGTAATTGTGATTTAAATATACAAAATGCAGAGCAAGCGGAATTAATGACTAGTACATTTAAAGGTAAAATTCTGTGATAGTGAAAAATATCACACAATAATACGTTTAAATACATTTTTATAGGATTAATACTTTCCTCCTATTATATCGGTTTCTTATCCGATAAATATGGACGACGTACTATATTAATTTACTCCACTTTGCTGACCTTTACGTTCTCCCTACTTTCTACCCTGATGCCTAATTACTATTCATATCATTTTATGCGTGTACTTACGGGTATCTTGTATGTATACAATTAGTTCTATGTCAAATTTTAATTTATAGACATTTCTCCTAGCTTAGCTGGACCAATTATAGTTACATTGCCTTATGTTGCAGAATTTATGTTAGATCAGTACCGTACAAAAGTGATGAACTATTTATACATGTTTAATGGAGTTGGTATGATATATATGCCCGGTAATTAATAACATTCACTGGCGCTCTATTTATTTAAAAAAAATTTACCTTTTAAACTATTTAAAGGTACTGCTCAAATATTGATTAATATGAATTGGAAAATTAATCTTATTATAATAACGTATCGCCCATGGCGCTTATTAGGTTTTATCTACATATTACCGGGTATAATAGCTCTTGTTTTGCTATATCATTTACCCGAATCTCCTAAGTATCTCTTAGCTGCTGATAAACATGATGAAGCTTTCAAAGTTGTGAACTGGATTTCTTTACGAAATAATGGTGTGCCACTGGAGTCTCTTGGAGTCGTGGGATTCGAACCACTTCTATCGCGGGACAACAATGCAAACCGGTAACCAATAACACATACTATAGTGCAAAACACGTAAACAATATTTATTTGAATATTTTATGTGCCAATGAATATTATAATAAAGTCAATCTATATTAGCATTTGGATTTGTGAACTTTGGTTGGATTTGCTACCAATATTTGCTAAGGCTTATGTGAAGCAATTTTTGCTTAGCTGTGCTACAATGATGGGTTTGGTAGCCGTGTAAGTCAGAGTACAAATATTTTCATATAAACAATATATTTGAACTATTTATTCTGACATTTATAAACATTTTTTAGCGCTAGCGGTTTGGGTTTGTGGTATACGGACGTAAGAAATCGACTGCGTATATCTAACGAAATTTCTGAAGATAACGAAATAACTTTATGTGAAAGAATCTCGGAATTCGAATCAGCTAATATTACCTTGAGATTTGATAGCAGACCACAGGTATTAAATATAAACATTACCTAATTATCTTCTATTAATATATAAATGGCATTGCAGCCTTGTTTTGAGTATATAAAACAGTTTTGGGATTCCATAACCATGGGTATTTGTTTTATAGCCGGATATAATATCATTGGCTTATTGCTTCTAATAACCAATCGGAAACGTATATTTATATATTCTCTAATTATATCTGGTATATGCGGATTGTGTATTAATTTTGTAACTTTACAAGTCCTAGAATTAATTTTCCTAATATTATTTCTGGTACTTCCGGCCATCCTGGTAAATTTTCTTAACACTTTTGTGATGGATAATACTCCAACTTATTTAAGGTGAGCATTTTTACTATTTATTACACATAATATATAAAATTTTTAAACTTGTGTTTTTTCTTATACTAGAAATAAAGCTCTTAGTATTGTTACTATATTGGGGCGTGTAGGCGCCATTTTAGGTTGCCATATCGGCATTTACTTTTTGAATAATGTTTGCTTCCTGGTTTTTACCTTGTTACCTCTTATATCATTTTGTAAGTAAATATGTTTTTTTCGTAAGAGATACTAATCTATAATCTTTCTAGCTTGTGCTGTGTTCGCATATTATTTGAAGATATAATTAGCAAAACTTAGGAGCCGACAAATTGCATTCAATGTTCAAATTTGACTACCAAGATTCATTTTAATCCGACATAAATATTTATATGAATATGATATACTATAATATGCTATTCTATTATATATATTTACATACAATCGATATTTTGAAATATATTTTTTAAAGTTCATCATTTCTAAATGTTCTATTAATAACAAAAATCCCATAAGAGATGTTGCTGAGAATGTTGATATATCGGTTGGCACATGCTCTGAAATTTTTGGAAATATCTTTGGTATAAAACTTATCTTTGACAAGCTTATTTCCGTAGTTACTTAATCTTGAATAAAAGAACTATCGCATGAAGCTGAATGAGTATCCAAATTTGCTAAAATGGGTCTTCAATGATGAATGGAAACATGGGTATATGACTTTGCGAACAGAGGATTATAGATCGCAAGACAGTACATTAATTCCGGTGAATATGAGAAATTTGCAGTAAGTGAATTTCTTCAATTACAGTGCAGTAGTTCACCGTGAATTCTTGCCGGAAGGTCATACGCACTATAACATATATCATCTTGAAGTTATTTTGAACGAATATTATTGTGGCACTGCGACCGTCGGGTCTATTCTGTCCCCTTCTGGTCTTAAAGTAGGTCTCTGAGTCATGTTGCGTCTAAAAAAAGTAATATAGAACCTACTTTACAGTATTTTATTGCCTTTTCCGTAAGAAGAAGTATGCCGCATACAAAGAAATATCAAGATTTGTGGAAAGATCACTGTTTCATTAATATAATGCATCTGCTCACTTTGTTGCTTGCGCGTAATGTCTTGTCTAAAAATAATGCCATTATCCTGTCACATACCGGAATACCGGATAATGCCGTTAACCGGTATTCATTAGACTTGCTCTCTTGCGACTTAATTTTTTTTTCCAAAATTTAAAAGACTCATAAAAAGACAGAGATTTGCTATGAATGAAGAAATGAAGATCATATCGGTGGAATAATTTATAAATTGAAAAATATATATTTACTTTCTATTGAGTACATGATGGTAGTGAATTTTTATTTAATAGAAATTACTTTATTTAATAGAGAGGTAAATAATAATTTGTAAATAACAAGTTCAACTCTTGGTACTTGCAGTCTCAAGAAATTGTTCTGGAATAATTATTTATACGAATTATTGGACAGACCACTGATACGTAATGGGATTTTTCAATACAGCTGTATGGTCAGCCAAAGATTCTATTAATTAAAACTTAATAAAAAGTTTGATGTTGCAATTTACTACTGTTGGAATTCTCTCCAATAAATATTTTTGAAAATAAAAGAAACTTACTTTATTTTCTCTACAAATCTTTTTTTATAAGATATACAAATTTTGCAACCATTAATAAAGTTATTCAAATCATATATAAAAATACATATTACTTTCTATTGCTGAACTGCTGTACTAAAGATTCTATATACCTAGGTATATGCGACTTATAAAATTCTATATATGTATGATTGAAGTTACTCTATTAATAAATTTAGGATCAAATGTTATTCCAAAGCACATTACATATTTCTAACATATATGACGATCCGACCACTCATACTGCAGTGTCGTCCTACAGTGGTATATTTTATTCAACCATCGGGCAATATTAGACGCTGCTTTTTGACAGTTAAAAAAGTGATATAGTAAGATCTATATTATTATTATAATTTAGTTTTTGTTTTAAATTTTTTTTGTATTATTAAATCAGCACTTCGACATATATATATATTGCTAGAAAAATAGTTCTATCATATTTCCTAACACAGTAAAGTTTTAATGTCAATCCATTTTATTTGAAATGAAAAGCACCTAAGATTTTTGTTCTTAAGTACAAGTGATTAAGTCAATAATATAAGTTGGACACTAAAATGTGGTACAGATGATACCTCAACAAACGTGTTGTACGGCAGTCCACAATTCAAATAGTTGGAGTCATGAATTCAAATAGAATTGACTGCATTCATGGCTATGCCACCATTACTGATAACAGCGATTATGCCATACATAACGTATGACATATTGGTACACATGTTGCATTATATCAAAAAGTGACTGAATAAAGCACAAATATAGGCAAACTTATTAAGGCAACATAATATAAATCATTTACAATGATGTATCCGAACAAATGTATATATGATTTCTTAATGACTAATGGTTATAGAGACAAATTTTTCTGACAAGGCACTAGGTGACACCGACAATTTATCATATTTTGTTGCTTTTGCAAGTGATTTGATTGAAACTAAAAATTCCACAAAGTTGCATAAAATAGCACAAAATAATACAACGAATAAAATTTATATGCAGAATATCACGAGGTACTATAAACTACAAGCAGAAATCATCATCATCGATTGCTTTTTTAAGGCACAGCAGCAAATCGGCGTATCTCAACTGAACCGATACATTATTTCACTACCGGCAGCTTGAGTTAATTATTATCGACTTAAGTGTGATGCGCATCGTGCAGAGCGCAATGGATGCTGAGAGGCATTGGCTTATTTGCACACAGCATCGTTTGCGCACTGATGGACGTCCAACTGTGTGGTGCGCAGGATCATTTCACTCGTTGCCGTAGTCAGCCGTAGTCAGCCGTAATGTGGCTCAATTTAAAATATATTAGCACACGTTGCCTCCACGTACCCAGCTTATATATTTACCGCTTAAGAACCAACGGTTTCTTGGCTGGATCAACACAGCGCAGACATTTACGTGCACTAATTCTGCTCAATATGCGCGCAATCTGTAATTTTAGTTTGTCTAAGCTCGTCTCAGACTCTTATTGACCGACTTGTGATGTATTTATTATGCTTATTCGGCATATTACCACAGACGTTGGTAAACTATGAGTTTATTCATAGCTTATAGCTGTTTTTGTTGTTGTTGTTCAACTTAGTGACGCTTGACAGTTTCATGTTTATGTTTAGTTCAGCTAATGGAGTCACCGACTCTAATAGATCATTAATTTGTTTTGCTCTCCTCTTCTTTAAAAATAAATTATAATCCAATTTTATATGTTCTGGCTATAAATTCATAGATGAAGTATTTACCGATTATTGCAGATAAAAATAAACAAGTGACACATAAAATTTTTATAAAATTAATTTGCATATGGAAAATAAAATTTCATTTATAAACTTAAGTCCAAAGAATCACTATACACTAACTATAGTTAACTGAATAGTTAATACTTAAATCATATAATTAAATAATGCAATTAATTACACTGGCCGACACTAAATATTGCTATAAATTGTTTTAAATCGATATAATGATATTACTATAATGATAGTACTATAAAGAAAGACAATTTAAACACTTAAGTTCTCGTATCGAAAACCTAACTCATAAAGTCGACACCCAACTATAACTTTTTCGCTTTTTTAAAGAATTTACTTTCTTGAAAATTATAATCCTTTACTCGACATCAATTTAAAAACATAAGTTTAAAGAAAGCTTTAAAAAACTTGCGAGTAATATTAAACAACACAATCAGCTTATAGATCCGAATATCACTTTAATAATGTAACCCTATCTAAGTCAGATATTGTGTACTTGAAAACTACTTCCATGGAAAATCTGAATGAAAAGTCGATTTCAATACTATGAATATTATGAACTTATATTCTGAAGATCTTAGGCAGCTACAAAATCTACTCTTAAAGACCATCATAAGCTTTATTAAGTTCTGAAATGTTTTCAAATTTTGCGAGTTATATTGGCCAAGACAATATGCTTAATGGCCTAAGCAGGTCCCAAGGACTACTGCAATGACGTTATCCAAATTGGTCAAAAACTATGTATAGAAATATCCCGTCATCGAAAATTGAACTCCGAAAAATGTCGATCTATACAACCAATTTTAATGAACGAAAGAATCGCTTCTTAAATAAACAGATTCAAAGGATTACTGTAATATTTTTAACCTTAAGCCCAACCTACGTCAAAGACGGTTAACACAACATCTGTATACAACCAATATTAAAAAGTTGACTGTTAACTCGTAATAATCACTAAAGTAATATGATGTGAAATAATGAGTTTAGATAATAGATGATCACACAATGATGAAACAGCACTACGAATTTTCCAGAGAAAAGTTTGATCGAAGACCTAATTGAAGAGACCGAATCTATTACAATCTCAGTAGACAATATTCCTTTGTAGGAACTCTCAACAGTACAATAGCTAAAAATCTTAGAGACTTATCTAGAGAAGAACAGAATTTCTTATTATTAGTTTCATTTAATTATTGAGTAATTAGATCAGTAGTTCCCAACATATGGTCCGCGAGATAATTAAAAATGGTTCGTGAATCAAACTTAACAGGTATGGATACATAGCTTGTAGTTTGTCCTTTGAGAGCTTACTTATTATAAAATAATTACAAAAAATGTCCAATTTGTACCTATTTTATAGCCTATATATTGTACTTATTCACTTATACAATTTATTATACATTATACTATAGATGCATAAAGCATTTAAATATTAAAATTATTTCTAAACTTTATGGTTCCTATTAAAAACAATAATATTATATTGGTCCTTGGTCAGAAAAGGGTGGGAAGCGCTGAATTACATATTCAAAAATAGGATTTATATATTAAAAATTGAACTGACATGTTACATTTATATATCCAGAAGAAATACTTTATAATGGATTGATCTATTTATATTCTTACCTCTTTTTTTATTGTTTAGTAATTATTAATTTAAGAAAAGGTGTTTCTTTGAAATGATCTGTTAACATTTATATATCTATAAGAAATACTTATAATTAGACTGACCTATTCAAGTTCCTACTTTTTCTTTATTGTTGTGCAATTATAAAATTAAGAAAATGTTTTACTAAGATTTGAATGATCTGTTAACATTCCTATGTCTAT